CCTTGTTAGAAGAAATATATCTCTGTAACCAGGATTAGTCTAACATTCTGGTGGTGGATGGCAGCTTCAGCTGTAACACTCTTGTTGAAAGCTAGGTCACTGGAGTAGATTAAGGCAGCATTCAGACCCAGCTCTCCAAATTTACTGGATTACAGTAAAATCTTTGTATCAAATCATTAGTGCATGCTGTGTCTGAACTATACCATTTAACTGTATTAGAAACCATCTGCCTGGCTGTCCAAGTTGAACAAAGACAGCTTCTGATAGAAATATTGAAATATTGTAGAAATTGAACAGAAGCAAGAAATTCCAAATAAGAAAGAACAGAACAAAATAGAATAACAGAGTTGGGACCTCCGAGGCCTTCAAGTCCAGGGGTCTCCAACTCCCAGTCCATGGACTGGCACCGGGCCACAGCATGCTTCATCTATGGGATGCAGGCAACACACAAAACCGTGCTCCCTCCCGTCTGCAGAAAAACCTCTCTTCATGGAACTGGTCTCTGGTGCCCCAAAGGTTGGAGCCACTGTTCTGGTCCGATGCCCTGCTCAAGCCTAACCTATACCGATCCAGACACCTGGCTGTCCAGTCTCTTCTTAAAAGCCTCCAGTGATGGAGCACCCACAACTTCTGAAGGCCAGCCCTTCCACTGATTGTTTTCACTGGTAGGAAATTTCTTCTTGGTTCTGTGTTGCTTCTCTCCTTGTTTAGTTTCCATCCATTGTTTCTTGTTTTGCATTCTGCTGCCTTGGAGAATAGCTTGACTCCCTCTTCTTTGTGGCAGCCCCTCAAATATCGGAACACTGCATAGGTGCCCAATACAAACCACAGTGATATCACATGTATGATGATGTCGTTGTGCAAATGTTACAAATGATGTCATGGTTATCATATTTGCATGATGATGTCATCAAACATGGCATGGCTTTGGCGTCAATGGCCCCATCCTGTGGAAGCTCATGCATGAAAATACAGGTTCAGATTTTAAAATCTGTGTCCAAAATAAGGAACGCTGTTTTGGCTGAACGCACGCTACAGGCGACAAAGAATTAAACAATGCTTACAGCTAAATCTGTGCAGCTGAAATAACAGTAGCTCCCAGCAAAGCTGGCTGGGGAATTCTGGGAGTTGAAGTCCACCAGGCTTCAAGGGGCCAAGGTTGGACAGCCCTGCTATAAATTCTTCTGATTTAGCCCCAGACGGAGGCCATTATAGCCTCTCAACTCAGAAGGAACCCCACCCACCCCCGCGATGGCAGAATTAAGCGTCGGAAAACTTTTTGGAGGAAAAAAGTGAGCTAAATTTAGCCTGTGCCGCTTTCACATAGGCCTCTTTATGCTTTGATTTTTCACAAGAGAAGAAAATTTTGAATGCTCCAAATGCTCTTTCTTAATGTGATGGTTTCTAGGGAAATTTTTTTAGTTTAGGACAACAAATCTGGATTGCCAGCTTAGTCAGTGGATACAGTGGACTGAATCCAAAAAAACTGGTCCTACTGAAAATAAATAGAACCATTTAATCACGGATAGCGACTTGCAATTCCAAGGGGCTTCCTTTAAGTGTTGTTTCCACATTTATTCATTGGATAATTGGCAGTACAGTGCCAATCCCCAAGAGCTTAAAGGTTGAAGGATTTTCCTTCTTTCATTTTGGGGAGAATATAGGATCTTTACACAAACTAGGGAAGGTGTAGCTCCTAGAGCAGAGGTTTTTTTTTTTTTATAAATACAATCTTCCAGATGTTGCTAAGTCACAATTCCCAGCAGACCCAGTTAGCATAACCAGTAGTGTGGGATGATGAAAGGTGTATTTCAGTAACAATTGCAGAGCCATTTACTGTGTTCACCTATTTTAAATATGAAAGATTGGGATGTTGAAACGTATCACTTGGTTGCCGAAGTGGCAAGGCAGTCGGAGGGAGGGCTTTGAGATCACCAGAAAGAGGATTTAGAGCAGACGTAGCTTAAAGGCCATTCACCCCCATTTTAAGATTGGCTGTCCCATCACTTTCACCAGCTTGAAATGGGATTATTTTAATGAGGAACACTTTGAGTGATTCCCTCAGTGTAGTCAAGTTGGGCAGAGTAAGGATCTAAGGTTGAACCCCTCAGTGCTTCGGCAAGGTATTGCTGGAAGATGGAGCAGGAAAAAAAATCCCTTGTGTTTGAACTGAGTTCGAATTGAGCTCTGTGTTGTACTGACTGTGCTAGTTGAGAATTCTGAGTGATGGTACCAATAGAAGCAAATGAAATGAGGGGTCCTTGGTGCTCTCTGAGTTTGGTTATTTTCCTGCAGGTGTTTCATTTCCCAACTAGGTAACATCATCAGTGCTAGAAAGAGTGGAGTTTACTCTCTGTTTATATATGGTGGCTTTCTCTGTCAGTATCGCTGGGAGTGTTGTTGTTTTTTCTTGTTGGTTCCTTGATAAGGCGGTTATTTACTGTTTGATTGAGTTGGTGGTCCCAATACAGATCAACTTTGATGTGGATAAGCCAGAATTTTGTACTTATCTCATTCTCTGAAAAGAAAGTGGTTTGGCTTATCCTCTTTGGATTTTACCATCTTATTTCTCCTGAAGTTGTGGACCAGGTTTCAGTTGAAATATTTTATTTGCCTAAGGGAAAAACATTAGACAATTTATAAAATTTGTATTAGCCATTAATGTTGAACCATAACAGCAAAACTCAAACTTCCATATTCAATGACAGTTTACCTAAACCAAAGTCAGCTTTCTAATGACGGGTTTGAGAATTTCCCGGGCAGTCTGTCTTTCCAAACTTAAGATGGATGAACCTTAGATTAGTCAGGCCCTGCCCAGCAGTTTTTAAAAGACATTTAAACTTGCCTTCTATCTTCCCACGGATATTCTCCAAATACATAGCCACTTTGTCCAATCTTTATTCAAATGTAGCATTCCTATCGTAGTGGGAATGTCTTCACACATTGTGACTGCGTGGAAAGAATGGTGGTTGTGGTTGTTACTGCTTGATAATCCCATAGTAATCTTTTCTATTCATCACATGGTGTATCCAGCCCCCGTCTTTTTCTCTCTCCCTTTTTCCTTTTAAAAAATCTTGCCACATTTCACCTACACACAAAATGAACCACCAGCTGCCAAAAACATTGGCTGGTTCAGAAGGGAGTCATGAGCATTTCCATGCCTAATTCCTGGTAGAAACAATCACTGCCTCAGACAATAAACATTTTCTGCTCCATAAATCTGATGGCAGGCAGTGTATGTGTGTAAGTGATAGATCAACAAACATGCCAACCCTCCCTCCACAAAAAAAACGCTATCAGTTTATGGGCAGCTTTTGCAGTATTCCTGGAATCCTAAATGGAAAGGAGAGAATCCCCAAAGGGCTTATAAATGTAGAGAGCATTTGTCTGGCAGAGCCAAGGCTCATGATTTGAGCTAAAGGAATTGGAGAGCAGATGATCCAATAGACCATCTCTCCTTCCCAGAGCTCGGAGGGTTCAACTGATGATTTGCTTAATCATGGTGCATGGAATAAACACAATTACCTGGGTTCACACAGCACATTTGAACCTGAAATGTTTGTAGGTAGCCATATGGAAGGCAATGAAGGAGGCTGAAATGGGAACAGAGAACAAGTTAAATGGGGCCAGTGAAAGGAATAACTCTTGGGGAACCATGGCATCTTTTTCCCACTGTAGGTTTTTCCCCCCACTGTAGGTTTTGGGGTCTTTAGAGGAGCAGCAATGCCACTAGTTTGCAAGAGCCGTGGTGGCACAGTGGTTAGAATGCAGCATGGCAGGCTAACTCACTGCACACTGCCAGCAGTTCGATTCTGACTGGCTCAATGTTGACTCAGCCTTTCATCCTTCCAAGGTCAGTCAAATGAGGACCCAGATTGTTGGGGGCAAGAGGCTGACTCTAAACCACTTAGAGATGGTCGTAAAGCACTATGAAGCAGTATATAAGTCTAAGTGTTATTGCTATTTCTAGTTCATATTCACCATTTCAGAGATTAAAAAGAAAATCTCCCTCTTTGGTTATCATTTTACATGACTGCAAACCTCTGCCTTGAAGAACAGCTGGGCTGAGAACAATCAATCAGTGGAACTGCTTACCTCCAGAAGTTCTGGATGTTCCATCACTGGAGGTTTTTAAGAAGCAGTTGGACATCCGTTTGTCTGAAATAGTATAGGGTTTCCTGCTTGAGGAAGTGGTTGGACTAGAAGATCTCCAAGGTCCCTACCCTTATTCTGTTATTCTGTTAATTCCCCAAATAAGGTCACACCACCTTTAGGGGATAGTGATTTCCTTGGGAATCAAGGGTGTCTATGCAGCACACCTAAAAAAAATGGGCAGGGTTTGAAACACACCCTCGTTGCCACTATCCTGACTTTTCCGACCACACCTTGCAGACATCCCTGATGTGAACGAAGAAAGAAGAAAACAACTACGGCCAAATTAAAAATGTGCAACCAAGGTATCACAACCTAGGCACCACGCCTGCCTCGGAGGCTACATCTCAATGGAAAAAAAGCAGACAAGCAGCCTGGGTTGGCAGCCCTGATTGGCTCCACCTCAGTTCAGCCCCGGCTGAGGACGTGGTGCGAAACCAGCAGAATCTCTCCCTTAGTCACTTGCTGAAAATTGGCAGCCGGCATGGAGAGGGTTGCAGAAGCGATCTTGGGGTGGGGTGGGGGGGGGGGTGGCTTGTCTACCCTCGGCAAGCTGTGCACACTTGATTTATAATCAAGAAATATGCAGTCGATCACTCCCGGCGAGGAGGGGAGCAGCATTGGAGGGCTACCTTGAGCAGCACGCATTTCTCAGACCCACGATGGTTATTGTTACTGCCTCTTTTGCAGCCCAGAAACAATAGCTGGGTTCTCTAGTAGCCTGTACCCTGTAGAGAATTACCGAAATAAAGTCATGTGACGTGCTCAGAGGGTGTGTTTCCAATTATTGCACTTGAGTCTTTCTGCCAGGCCGGCGAAGACAAACAGCCTTCTGAAGGAGTCTGATTTTTTTCAGCTTCGTTGTAAGTCTCTTTTAATGTTTTCATATATTTTTTTTAGAAAAGAGGGGTTAGGGATGCTTTCCTTTTCCCATCCATACAGCAATGCTGCCCCTGTTTTCTCTGATAGAAAACGGTCGAATGGGGGGGGGGTGGGGGGAACCTATCGACTGGATGCTTTTAAGGCGCATCTGATGCTTTCCATTGAATCGTCGGAGGAGGAAAAAGGATCAAAACGCAGAGAGGCTGCCAAGCCCATCGGAATTAGATGCGAAGAGGTTGCACTGCATCGCTTTGAGCCAATCGGCGGAAAACCCTCGTGCTCTGCCGAAGGGATCTAAGGCTTCCCGCAGCTTCTTACACTCTCTTGCATTTGGCCTGAGGCTGTGTGCGCAGAAACAGTTTTTACGCCTTTGAAAGAGGGGTTCCGTTTCGGCCCCTCCAAATGGGGAACCAAATGGGGTCTTTTTCCTGGCGCATCGTTTATTGTATTTACTACTTGCACGGAACAAAACAGGTTGGGGTGATTTAGCACGAAAACGAGGGAGGAGGAAGAGCGAAGGGGGGGGGGAGAAAGAGAGAGATCAGCCAACCAGTTAACATTTGGTTTGGATTACCAAAACAAGGCAAGAGAGCTTTGTTCCTGGCAGGCCAAGGGGGACAGGAAAAAGAGAACGAAATGCAGCGAAGTGGGACACGCTGTGCTGGTCGGTAGAGTCTAAAACGTTGCTTATGGGTCAGGTGGACTTCTCCCACTTTTTGGGAAGCATCAGGTTTGTTCACAACTGGACCCTTTGGTTCTTTGGGCCTCGTGGTATGTGCATGTCTGCAGATTTGTGAAGGGGGTGTAATAGCATGAGATGGATTGTTTTTTCATCTTCCGTTTAAAAGCTAGATTCTCCCCACTCCATGTAGCAACCCAGTGAAATATTTTAATTTGGTGTTAGACCAGCCCAAAGGATGATTTGGGGTGGGGGTTTTTTTTGTCAGCCCACCTCAACTTGTTGGATGAAGAAGTTTTCCAAGCCAAGTCATTAGGAAGAAAAGGATTTTACGCCATCTAAATATGCTTTTTGGCTTCTCTTCTGCTCTTATCCTGCATCCCTCTTTTCTTCTGTACCATTTGATCTTCATTTTTTTTCCCTTTCCCGCCAAACCCATTGATCTCCCACCCCCCAATTTCTTTCATCACCTATTAAGATCTTCTTGGAAAGAGGGACTGAATACAGTTGAAGAAAATGGCTGGGGGGCTTCAGTACAAAGTTATTTTTTCCCCTACATACACCTCTTGTAGATAATTCTGTAGCTTTGATTTGTAATGAGATGGACTTAATTTATTATTTGAGGTATAATTTTTATAAATTTTTTATTTTATGAATCATGACTTTATTATTTTTTATTTTGATTTGATTTACCTATCAAAGGGGTTTGATTTGATATGATATGATTTTATGATCAGAGGGATTTATTTCTATTTGCAATATGCTGTCTTTTTAAAAACCTGGATGTAGGATATAGAGATGATCTGTATATTTAGCAAAGATTACAGGAGGCGACAGATCCAGTTTTGCTACACAAAGCTGTCTTCTGTTGATTTGGTTTCTTCAATGTTATATGGAAAATTTTTATAATAGGGAACCCACCCCATACATATTGTGATTCTCCAAACATAAGAAAATTTCCAAAAGGCAAGTAGAGAAATCTCTTTTATTTTGACATATAAAGTTGGATTTTGAAGTTTATTCAAACTTCTCCATCCAAAAATCCTGCAATTATAGCATTTTTGACAGATGGCCATCTAGTCTTTATTTGTGTTTCTCCAATGACTATGAGCACACAACTTCCCCAGGCCATCTGTTTCAGCGCTGAACACTGAACTTGGAAACCAATTCACACAACACATGAAGCCCACTAAGAAAGTTAACATGAATGTGTATGCTTTCAGTCTTTAACTATCCACCCAAAATTCACATGGCTTTTAAATCATTCTCCACATCTTTTTTTAAGGGTAGAATCCCATCTGGAAAGACCAACCCAGAAATACCATAACATTTACCACTATACCATCAGGAACTTGAAGCAAAAGAAAAACCGTAGTTTTCAAGTTCTGGTCTGTATGAAATGGAAAAGGCTGGTTAGCTTCTGGTTTAATGTCATGTGGGAACCCAGAAAATGGCTTAATCCTACAACAAAGCTAAACAAGTTGCATGAATGGAGTTTTGATTCTTTCAGAGAGTTGGGGTAGAAAAAATAACAACTATTATCAACGTGATACCTTATCTTGCTGCTTTGGAACTGAAAGCCTCTTGTCTTTAATCTAGAGGGGGTGATTTAGAAAGATCGAAACTTTTTTCTGATGAGTTTCTTTTTCTTGTTCCATTTGGAACTTCTGTTGCAGGCACTGGAGAAAGTAAAATAACCAGCATGACCAATTGATCACCATTTCCTGGGTCTCCAACGATGGAACGGCACAATAGCGCCAAGGGGAGGAAATCCAAAACACTGCGCTCCATTTCCCGGTCGCTCATCCTCTGCAACGGCAAGACCAGCGATGATGGCTCGAGCCCAGATGATAAATATGCCAACCCTTTTGAGAGCCAAGCCAGCTGGAGTCAGAAAGAACCATGCCCTCAACTCCCCCTGGCGTGCTCCTCGCCTAGCCAAGACACCACATCTGATCCTCTTGTGATTGCCAGCATGGTGCAGCTGAGGACCAATGCCAGTGAAAGCTGTAAGAACATGAAGAGGAAGTTCTTTATCAAGGTAGGAAGAGGGTCCGTGCCTCTGTTTGCCTGGCATTTGCAATGCTTGGATAGCGATAGCAATAGCACTTAGATTTATATACCACTTCACAGTGCTTTTATAGCCCTCTCTAAGCGGTTTACAGAGTCAGCCTATTGCCCCTAACAACCTGGGTCCTCGTTTTACCCACCTTGGAAGGATGGAAGGCTGAGTCAACCTTGAGCCTGGAGAGATTTGTACTCCAAATTGCAGTCAGCAGAAGTAGCCTGCAGTACTGCATTCTGGCCACTGCAGCTCTGAATGAAGGGGTTCTCTTTCTTTCCCAAACATGGGAATCTGGTGGTGGGGATTGCATTTCAACCAGCAGCACAGATTATATACCCAGGATGTTGCATCCCTATCAGGTTCTTTCATCTTGGAAAGGAACAAGACAACGGCTGTGAGGAAAAGCTGTTGCAATAGCACATGCAACAGAAGGAAGCTGGGCTCTGGGCAAAGAGTTTCTCAGCCAGCTCTGTGGTCCATGGCATTGTCCACAGCATTGGTCATCAGAGCTGAAGGTGTTGGAAGCTGTAGCCCAACCTATCTAGCAGGTACAAAGTAATGGAAGCTGGATGGACAGGCTTTCAAGTTTCTTCATGTCTTCCCAACCAGGACAGCTGCATTTGGAAGCTCTGCATTGCGACCGGGAATACGGGGCTGGGAATCCAAGTCTGCAGGACTTCCAATGGCTCTGCTTTTGGTAAAGAGTTCATGGTCAGCCACGTGATTGACGGGGGAGCTGCTCAGAGGTATGTTACAAAATTCCACTAGGAAGCCACATAATCATACCTATTTAGCTCTTTGGTGGTGATTCTAACGATGAAGATATTGAAATGTATACCCTGCCTTCCTACTTACCTAAGAAATGAAAATGACTTAATTCAGGAGGGAGATAATAACAAACTTCACATTTCAGAAGAATTGTTTCCTGAATGATAAAGAAAACTGTACTCTTTTGACCCATGGGAGCAGGACAAGAAGCAATAGATGGAAACTAGTCAAGGAGAGAACCAACCTAGAACTAAGGAGAAATTTCCTAATGGTTAGAACAATTAATCCATGGAACGACTTGCCTCCAGAAATTGTGGGTGCTCCAATACTGGAGGTTTTTAAAAAGAGGCTGGGCAGTCATTTGTCTGAATTGGCATAGGATGTCTGCTTGAGCAGGACTAGAAGACCTCCAAGGCCTTTCCAACTCTGTTATTATGTTAACAATGTGTAGAAAGCATTGCAGGGAAGATGCCAGGAAAAATTTCTCCAGAAATAAACTTGTGGTCTCCCCTTTGCTGGAGGCATTAGAAAAGAGGTTGAAAGAGGTTACCTGTCCAGGATGCTGCAGCTTACACCTAATCCTATAGATCCTGCACTCCTTAGGAAGATAGACTATATAGCCACTTTCTGTAAAAATTGTGCAGCAAATCAGATAGTGAGGGAACTGTATAAGCAGGCTATTTTTTTATGCACATTATTCAGCAGAGATATACAGTGTAATTATATAAATAGGCTGCAGTTCTCCCTTTCTGCAGTTAACCTTGTAAGTTTGTATGTCTCATCTCAATGAACAGATTGAGGAGGTCTGTATCATAGATAGCCTCCCTCCCCCATTCAAGCTGTTACCCAAGAAACGAAATCGGTATTTCAATTTGCTTTTTCCATGGAAGCACCGTCCTCTTTCATAGAGCTCCACTACACCAACAGAGAAATCAGAATTTCTCAATGACTTAAGCCAAGGGTATATATAACAAAGAATAAATAAATACATGAAGTGCTTCATTATCACATGTTCCTTCCTATGACTTCAAGCTAGTTACAAACAAAATCAGAATCATTTGAGGTTTCTGTTTTCCTTACTGGACCTACATAAGAGGTCCATTAAATGATTTTATGAGAAGTAATTAAAAAAAAACCAAATCCTATTTACTGGATGTACCCAAGAGGTCTGTTAAAGTTCTGAAAAATTTGGGGTCAAAAACAAGATTAACAGGAAACAAGTTCTGGAACTATATTTAGAGGGGTCAAAATGTAAGACTGTCAAAAGTTCATGGAAGGAATGCAAGCCTGGCTTATTTGACCAGGTTTAAAATTAAAGAAAAATAGTTATATCTGGTTTCCCTTACTGAATTTTTGCTGATAAAGAAAAAATGATGAAACGTTTAGATTTTTAATTAAGAGATGAGTTATGGGATGAAGAGAGTAATGTTATAAAATATTTTTATTCCTTCCTTCCCTTTTTCCTTTTGTAGTTGGTATTAATTTTTATTCTTTCTATTTGTAATTCTTAATAAAATTACTTGAGAAAACAAATAAGAATCAGAAGCTGGTTTATTAGTCCCCCTAAACATTCCTCGGCTGTGATCTGAGAGCAATGTTTGCTCAAAAATAATTTGGCCACCGTCTTGGGGTTTGCAAATGCTAATATGACCTGAACAGAAGCAACAGCAGCTCAGAAAGCGGGGATCCCCTTTGAAGCAGCTGCAGAGAGCTGGTGACACTTGTTCACAACCCCGCAGGCCTATTGCTGTCTTTTCTTTTTCTTTTATTTTCAAGGGATGGTCGTTTAAGCCCCGGGGACGAGCTTTTAACAGTCAACGGGCAACCCCTTAAAGAACTCTCCAGCAAAGAGGCTGAATCGCTCATCCAGTCCGCCAGAGGCTTGGTCAATTTAGTGATTGCTAATAAGGTAAGAGGAATAGATGAGACCTCTCTGTTCCAATAAAGGAGAATATTTGTAGCTCAGGGTTGACATGAGGGGGTCTTTGGTGCTCTTTGGTTGCTTTCTTGCAGGCGTTTCACTACCCAAACTAGGTAACATCATCAGTCCTAGCTACTTCTCTTGTTCCACTTAGGGCTGGCTGTACGCTTCTGAAATGAGGTCTCTTTTCACTTTGCCCATTTGCCCATTGTTTCTGCTATCCAAAAGGGCCGGATAGGTCAAGGGGTTCTTTCTTCTCTCTAGAACAAGGGTTCCCAACCCCTGTTCCATGTGGGGGGCATAGGATGTCAGAAAGCGGGCTGCTCAAACAAACAAAGCCCCATCCATAGGATGCAGGCAGCATGGGAAACTATGCTCCTTCTGGTCTGCTGAAAAACCTCTTTCCATGGAACTGGTCCCTGGTGCCCAAGAGGTTGGGGGCCACTGCTCTAGAAGAAGGAAAACAAGTCAGAGACCAAAGAGTTCTGATATTTAGGAACACCCCTAACCCTCTTAAGATATTTAGGAGCACCCCTAGTGTATTTGGCAGGTGCCAAGAGTGCTGATTCTTATAGAATGCAAAGCTGTAGGGGTTGCATCTATAATCAGGTCAAAAAATCCAAAGCGTTTCCATTTCCCCCTCCCTGGGCTGGCACACACCTGTGCTTTTAGCCGTCAAACAGCTAATAGGATTCCAAGAGGCACAACTTTCCTTCCTGCTACATCAACCTCTTGGGAGGAAGCTTCGGCAGTTTAAATTTTACCTGCCCTGCAATAGAGGAGCAGCTCCAGAAGAAAAATAGCCAAAGTATTCATTCAGTCATCCTGGAAGATTAACAGCAATGTTCAGCTGATTTAACGAAGACGCCATCTGCTGTAGGAGAAAGGAACTCAGGAATGCTCTATGACAAGGGAACAGGTCCAGGCTGTGGAAGAACTAATCCTAAATGTACGTCACAGCCACAAGTAACATTTGTTCTCCTCTCTGATCTTCCTGCAAATGACTGGTGAAAGACTGGGCTGAAGCAACCTGTGTTCCTTCTGGCTACTATTGATGATATCCACTCATTTACTCAAGCCACAGCTTAAAATACATACAGTTGTGCCTATTCCCACTTTAGGCTATACAGCATTTAACTAGCCCTGATGATGTTACCTAGTTTGGGTAATGAAACATTTGCAAGAAAACAAGCAAGCTTAGAAGGTACCAAAGCACCCCTCAGTACTTAAGTACTTGCCGGTTGGACGTCTTCCTTGTCAGTGTTACCTGTTACTGATATTAAATCTGCAATTTCCTACAGGGCAGGGCTGCATCAATGATGGGCCTAGATTTTTTGCAGTGTGCTTGCACCATCTTGTTCATAGCCTTCCAATTTGCCAAGACCTTTTGTGAAACTTACGTTTGTATAAGGCCCAACTGATACAGAAACTTGTTTGTGTCTGCAATGGGCTCTGAACCTCATTGGTCCAAACAGCATCTTTAACACACAAAGGCTTAATATTAGATTCTGCCCATTAAGAGCTCCTTGCCTGGATATGACTGAGAAGTGGGGAGGGCTCCCATCTTTTCTCCTGCTACCAGTTAGCTCCATGTTTTCCCTCAGCGCTGGCTGAGTCCATACATCTTCAAGTTGCCACGTTTGAAAAAAAACCTTGATTTAGTTTAAAAAGGATGGTTTACATTTTAAGCTAATGCCAGGGCAGGGGTGAATTTTGACACAAACACACAGCCAGCTTTTGAATCATTGCAGAGACTTAAATGTTGTGCATTTTCTCCCCAAATTCTCCCAGGAATCATCCAGTTGTCCTCATAAGGAGCAGCCTCCTAAACACGACCTGCCAAATGGATCTGTTCTGCAGACCAAAGCCAAATGCCAGCGGACTCGCAGCAATTCAGCCAGTAAGTTTCTGCTATGTCCAGATGCATGCACTGTCATCATTCCTAGGGGACTGGAGACAAAACATACGATGAACAGTTGCAGGAACTGGGCTTGGCTAGTCTAGTGAAGAGAAGGACCAGGGGAGACAGGAGACCAGTCTTCCAATATTTGAGAGGCTGCCCCAGAGAGGAGGAAGGGGTCAGGCTATTTTCTAAAGCACCTGAAGGCCAGATAAGGAACAATGGATGGAAACTGGACGAGAGATTCAACCTGGAAACAAGGAGAAATTTTCTGAGAGCAATCAACCAATGGAACAGAAGTTGCCTTCGGAAGTTGTGGGAGCTTCATCACCTGAGACTTTCAAGAAGAGATTGGACTGCCATCTGTCAGAAATGGTGTAGGATCTCCTTCTTGGGCAGGGGGTTGGATTGATGACCTACAAGGTCCCTTTCAACTCTGTAAATCTGTAATGAACTCAGGGAAGTCAGGACTCTGACGCTTTGTTCAACTTCTAGAGATCCTTTATTGAGTATATCATGTCGGTACTTAGAAAAGTGAAGCTAGCTCTAAATTATTCCCACGCTTAGGGATAGTTAAAAGAACAAGATCTCCCCATCCCATCCTTTGTCTCTGGTCACATGGGCCAATCAGTCCAGGTGTAGATTCCCACTCAACTTCAACAGGTGTCCGTTCACATGACCTTGGTTCTCATGCTGGCTGGTAGAAGTTGTGGCTAGCCGGCTAAGGCACCATATCCCTGAGTCCCCCCACCCATTCTCCCCCCTCCCCCTTGAATGGCAAACAAGAGACGAACCAGAAGTAAATATGGCTTCAGCTGAAGTAGTTTTGCAAGTTGACGTGGACATGTGTAGAATACACACTTGACATGGATTCAGCCTTGCTGCACAACGGGTAGCAGTCTACTGATTCCCATTTTGGAGATGATGATGATGATGAGAAAGGGAAGGAGAACCTTGCAGGTGCCTATTAAAGATGGTGAAGTGTAAATGTTCTGGAAAGAAATGCAACTGCGTTGTTCATCCCTGCCATGCTTAAAACTGCAGAGGCGAGAGTGGGTTTTAGGAGAAGCCTTTCCATTCTGCCGCCTCTTACTCTATTCAGCAGCACAGTATCAGCGGTAGAGTCCTTCAAGTTTTGGGGTTCTATAATCTCCAGGGACTTGAAATAGACACCCAACAATAGAACCATCATTAAAAAGACACAACAAAGAATGTCTTCCTGCATCCACTCAGGAAGCTCAAACTATCCCAGAAGCTACTGATAGAGTTTTACAGAAGAATTATTGAGTCTTATTATTTGTACTTCTGTAATGATTTATTTTATTTATTTATTTATTTATTTATTTGATTTGTCAATTGTTTACAAGATAATAAGTACAAGTGTATACATAGTTGTGAATATATGAAATGGGTACATATAAGAAAAATAAAAGAATAAGAGAAACAATAGGACAGGGACGGTAGGCACGTTGGTGCGCTTATGCACGCCCCCTACAGACCTCTTAGGAAAGGGGTGAGGTCAATAGTAGACAGTCTAAGGTTAAAGTTTTTGGGGTTTGGGGAAGAGACTACAGAGTCGGGTAGAGTATTCCAGACATTGACCACTCTATTGCTGAAGTCGTATTTCCTGCAATCAAGTTTGGTGCGGTTTACTTTGAGTTTGTATCTGTTGTGTGCTCTTGTGTTGTTATGGTTAAAGCTGAAGTATTCATTGACAGGTAGGACATTGCAAAGTATGATTTTATATACCATGCTTAAGTCAGACCGAAGACGGCGTAATTCAAGGTTTTCTAGTT